TCCCCACCAGCTGTTATTTATGGGATCGAATTGTGAAGAGTTGAAAGCGTCTTGAACTCCTTCACCGTTTGGTACGGAGCCCAACTCTTGAGGCAGAGCTCTTCACCAAGGAACATCTGCCTTGTCTGGAGGACCCATCACTGGTCCCTTTAGAGGTGGAAATTCTTAGCGGGTTGGCAGGTGGACTGACGGCCAGAAGAAGATCTGCACCAACTATTCCCATGTGGAGATGAAGGTCCCTAGAGCGCGATCATTGCCAGCGGCCTTCACAAGAGCCGGAAGATTTGTGGCGATGGGTACCAGGATGTGACCAAAGGAAGGAAAGAGCCATCATTGAGTGTCTTCCCTTTCACCATACTTACGTGGTCCGGGCCTCGGAGGGTCTACAGACCTTTCAGGTTTCACACATTGGTAGACACATTTGGAGATGCAGCACTTCAGGTTCCCGGGACACTCCCCGTCACCTCTACAGTCCCCCCGCCGGGCCGGGTAGCTGCACATCGTGGTGGGAGGTTTACACCGCCCAGGCTTCACTATAACACAAAGCAACAGAGGAGGCCGGTCAGTTATAGGAGGACACGGCTGGACATGGGTGTGATATGTTTCGTATGATTAGTCCAGATACTTCACCTATAGAGAGCAGCAGATTGTAACCACTGAAACCTGATACCTCCGGGACAGAGAACCGCAGTGACCGGGTCAGACCCAACTAAGAACCAGAACCACCATCCATCACCTATTCTGAGTCGGGGGAAACCAAGCTGATCTGGTGTTCATCGCGTGATAAAAGGGGCAAATCCATCAATATTAGTACCGATGATGGTATCACTTAGGGGCAATTAAAGTACCCCCTCCAGCCATTTTATTTGGGGGGTTTTAGGCAATGAACCTCAGAGAGAAGACTGAAGGGAAGGACGGAGGTCAGATGGAAGACTGAAGGGGAGGACGGAGGACAGCATTTTGAGCTACAAATGAACTTTACACACAGCAAATAAAACAAGGAACAAGTAAGGTTGCTCCCCTCCCACCCCAAGTTCTGCCCTTCCCGGGTCACTCACCGACATCTTTAGGATCAGGACGGTTGGGTGGGTTGTGGGCATAGACGGCGGCACAGCTCAGGAGGAGCAGGAGGAGGAGGCCGGTGTCCATAGACATGGCTGTGAGGAGTGTGTGAGGTGCGGGGTGTACACGGCGTGATTTATAGGAGTATCAGAGGGAAGATTATTATTATTATGTGCGGAGTTACATCACACGTCTGTGATTACATGTTCTATAGACACCTTCCCTCTCAGGCCGGGCTAATGACAGCACGCTAATTCTAATTATTATTATTATTGTTCCATATATAAAACCTTTCCTCCCACACTGCCAATCATGTCGCAGGATTCCCCACACATCAAATATAACATCAGACAAACTATACCCACTGAGGGTGGAGATGAGGGCCCCATATGTGAGGAACAACAACAACTCCACATATAACGAATACGACCGAAAAGGAGCCATGTACAGTAGCTGCCAGAAGTGAGTCCCCCGCTCTCATTGGACGATATCAGGTCATGTGACGACACAGAAGAAATGACACGTTGCTACAATGTAACGTAGTGCGTGTACAGCTTGTATATCAGTGTACAATCCGGGGCCCCTGGCAGTATACACAGTGTACAATCCGGGGCCCCTGGCAGTATACAAAGTGTACAATCCGGGGCCCCTGTCAGTATACACAGTGTACAATCCGGGGCCCCTGGCAGTATACACAGTGTACAACCCGGGGCACCTGGCAGTATACACAGTGTACAATCCAGGGCCCCTGGCAGTATACACAGTGTACAATCCGGGGCCCCTAGCAGTATACACAGTGTACAATCCGGGCCCCCGGTTAGTATGCACAGTGTACAATCCGGGGCCCCTGGCAGTATACACAGTGTACAATCCGGGCCCCCGGTTAGTATGCACAGTGTACAATCCGGGGCCCCTGGCAGTATATCAGTGTACATTTGCTGTCCCCAACACACAGCCAGTAATGTCTAAACCTCTGGCAACAAAAGTAAGTACACCCCTAAGTGACAATGTCCAAATTGGGCCCAAAGTGTCAATATTTTGTGTGGCCGCCATTTTTTCCCAGCACTGCCTTCACCCTCTTGGGCATGGTGGTCACCAGAGCTTCACAGGTTGCCACTGGAGTCCTCTTCCCCTCCCCCATGACGACATCACGGAGCTGGTGGATGATAGAGACCTTGCGCTCATCCACAGATGCTCCATAGGGTTTAGGTCTGGAGACACGCTTGGCCAGTCCATCACCTTCACCCCTCAGCTTCTTTAGCAAGGCAGTGGTGGTCTCGGAGGTGTGTTTGGGGTGGTTATCATGTTGGAATACTGCCCTGCGGCCAAGTCTCCGGGGGGAGGGGATCATGCTCTGCTTCAGTATGTCACATGTCGGCATTCACGGTTCCCTCAATGAACTGTAGCTCCCAAGTGCCGGCAGCACTCAAGCATCCCCAGACCATGCGTGACAGTAGGCAAGACACACTTGTCTTTGTACTCCTCACCTGGTTGCCGCCACACACGCCTGACACCATCTGAACCAAATCAGTTTATCTTGGTGTCATCAGACCAGAGGACGTGGTTCCAGTACTCCGTGTCCGTAGTCTGCTTGTCTTCAGCAAACTGTTTGCGGGCTTTCTTGTGCATCATCTTTAGAAGAAGCTTCCTTCTGGGACCACAGCCATGCAGACCAATGGGATGCAGTATGCGGCTTATGGTCTACTATCAGGTGTGTATACTACCAGGGGCCCCGGATTGTGCACTGTGCATACTACCAGGGGCCCCCCGGATTGTACACTGTGTATACTGCTAGGGGCCCCCGGATTGTACACTGTGTATACTGCTAGGGGCCCCCGGATTGTACACTGTGTATACTGCTAGGGGCCCCGGATTGTACACTGTGTATACAGCTAGGGGCCCCCGGATTGTACACTGATATACAAGCTGTACACTCACTACTTTACATTGTAGCAACGTGTAATTTCTTCTGTGTAGTCACATGACATGATATCATCCAATGAGAGGGGGGACTCACTTCTGGGAGATATTGTATGTAAGGAACATTCTTCCGACTGACCACCAATGAATTAATTTAACCCCTACACGACTAACGACGTACAGTGTATGTCGCTGGCATTGGGGGGGATGTTTAACCAGTTGACATCCGCGGTGTTACACCCCCTTCCCATCCCGGCCATTTTTCAGATGTAAAGCCGACTGTCGGGTTTACAATAGAAGCGACTCTGGCGACTCAGCTATCGCCAGATCGCTTCTACAGCCCGGTGAAGGGCCCCGTCCGACACCCCTGCCGTGCTTCCATTGCCCCTCCTACGGGCCTGGGTTCTTTGGTGTCGGTGGGGAGCTGGGGAGGAGATGGATGAACCTCCGTTCGGCGATCCCCTCCCCGTTCTATGGGACCGGGAGCGACGCAGATTGCATCACTTCCGGCCCCTGAGCTGTCATTGGTCGGCTCCTGAAGCCTGCGATCTGCACTTCAATAGCTTATTGAGAGTGTAAAGGTGACACTAGGGGTCTTTTGGACCCCCAGCATCACCTAAAGAGGACCTAAAGAGGACCTGTCACCACCATCTGCTATCACATGGGGGGCTTGTAAGCACCCCTGTGTCATAGCAATTAAAATAAAGTTAAAAAAATAACAGTTTTTCAAATTAACATTAAATAAAATTAATCTCAAAATAATAATAAAATGTTTTAAAGTGCCCCGCCCCCGCGAGCACACGCGTCGCCACGTAGACACGCGTCGGGTGCGCCTACGTATGAAAATGACGAACGCGCTACTCTTGTTGGGTACCGCTGCGCACGCC